ATGTTATTTATTAGACATAATAGGATATTAATAATCAACTTTAACCCTGTGTGGATTTACAAACTTCCCAATGATGTTTTCGTCAGGCCTTAACTGTAATCTCTCCTTTCCCAGTTGTTTGAGTTATCTACAAGATAGTGAGGAATTGATTCCAAAAATGGCGTGAGCCAATCATTCTTAATGTTTATGACATGATAAGTTGTAATTTGGGATACTCCTCTTCTGCATATAATGGCAAACAGAATTCCACAACGATTTTCATCATATAAAGTATATACACGAAATAATATAATATATTTATATTAATTATTAGCGATTTTTTGAAGTCGACAGAGGTGAAAAACCTCTTAAAATAATTAAAAATACAGATGCAAGTATTCATACTACTTTTTAAAAATAAAATCAAATAAGGACTCTCGATAAGAATAAAAAAACAATATTATTGACATGCTTTTAAATATATAATTTCAGGATAGTGTTAAAATCAACGATACGTCTGATAAGCGAAACATAAAGAAATATGGCTCGAAACTTGACTCTACTGGCAGTCCACCTCGATCCAGGAGCACCACGAAAGAACTTATTCGTTAGTATATCGCTTTACTATGTCATACCTCTAAGGATTAGAAATATCAATCGTTTTTTTATCTTTCTATTTCTTTAAATTAACATTTATTTTATAATATAAGTTTATTTTATAATATAAAGAATAAAATTTTACAATATTTTCTGACTTCAATATTCCATTAGAATAAAGAGCATAATTAACAAAAAGAAAATTTCAAAACCTATCTTTAACAAAAAAATATTTTAAAAGATAAAAATGATGAAAATAAAAATCACACATAGAAACTTTTAATGTTATAGAAACTTTTAATGTTAAAAAAACATAGAAAGATGCATCATGCTTAATCCGATTTGTTTTTCGCCGTGGAGAATGCTGGGAAGAAGCAGAGCGATGACAAATCGCCGAAGATCGTGAACCATTTAACAAGCAAGTATATGAAAGACGGCGAGGCTGTGACGCTCAGTTGCCGAATAATCGGTGCAAAAACGTTCGACGTAGTGTGGCTGCACAACAATAAGGAGATTAAGCCTAGCAAAGATTTCCAATACACTAATGAAGCAAACATCTACAAGCTAGTCATTGCCGAGATATTCCCCGAGGATTCCGGCACTTACACATGCGAAGCTTTCAACGATGCAGGAGAGAGCTACTCGTTGTGCACCGATGTATTGTGTATTAAGCATACTCGATGAGAAATCGGCTAGTTATCATCAACCGTATCACAGAAAAATTGGCGAAGACGACCTTTGTTCCTCATTTCGATTTTACTTTTAATTTTACTTTTAATTCTATTTCCTTTGAAATACAATTATGAAATACAATTATCGCAAAGCGTTTCTAAAGAAATACAATTAACACAAAAAATTAATATTCAAATCGAACAAGATAAAAATGAGCATTTTCAAAATAAAGATCAACATTTATATCCAGAAGTTTTACAATTAATGTAAAGTGCTTCAAACAATGTTATGGAAGTATTAGTCAATAATATTCAGACGGAAAGAAATATAATTAAATGTTCTCAAAATAATAAGGAAAATCAAAATAAAGAAAATTTAGAAAATAATTTTAGAAAACGTCATCAATACGAACAGGATCTGGACAATCGTGCTGTAAAGCGTCATCGATACCAACAGGATTTAGAAAATAATCGTGCTATAAAACATCGTCGATATGAGTAGAACTTAGAAAATAATCGTATTAAACATCGATACAAAAGAGATTTAAAAAATAATCGTGCTAAACAAGTGCTTCAATGCAAAAGGGATTTAGAAAATAATCGCGCAAAAAAGCGAATGCGTTATTTAAAAAATGTTCAATTTGAACGAAATAGACAAAAAGAAATAAATTATGATCGAAAATGGTTATATAATAAACGATATTATGAAAAAAAGAAATTGAAATCCACTTTTGTTAAAAATAATAATCGCGATATTGTCAAAAATATTATTAAAAAGTATGAAAAATTTTGGTCACGAGATAATATTAAGTTTTATAATTCTAAAGCTATTGAGAAGATTTATAACAAACTTGATATTAAAAATTACGTTGAAAAACGGTTAGAAGCTGAAAGAATCGTACATTGTTGTATGCATATTCGAGATAGTTATATTCGCAATATGTATAAAATATTAGCTTTACTAAAAAAAAATCAGAAGTATGCTTGAGTCTTGCTATTAAATGTAAAATAATTAGTGATAAATTAAGTGCATTTTGTGGTAAATCGAAGCATACAACTTCGTCTGAAAATTATTTTATCGATTCTATGTATCGTAATATTACTTTATCACAATCTCTGAAATTAAAAGATCAAAATACAAATGTATTACCTTTAATAAAAGAACAAACAAAAAAACATGATTATGTAACGAATTATGTAAAATTCATGATCCAATTCTAATTGATCGTTATGAAACATTCCTTCGAATGATAAGTACATGTACTTTCAAGAGAATACCGGAATTATTATAGAAAATTCATAAATGTACAATAAAAGAGAATTCAAATACGAAATTGGGTCACACATATTTGTTACATTGATACAACTCTTTGCAAAGCGATATTTCTTCCTGTTCAATTGTTATCACCTCATTTCTCATTAGTCAGATATTTTAAACGATATTTTAAACGGTTAGTTTATCAAATGACAAATTTCTATGAAAAAATGTTAAATTTAGAGAAAGCTTTAACATCTGCTGATTTAGATCATTAAATCAAATTATAACTTTGGCACAAGAAACAGCAAATCGTATGTACAGACATCAGTATACCGATACTATTTTGAATGATGAGGATATTATTTATAAATATAAAAACGCGTTTAAAGCTTTAACTAAGCGCTCCATGGACACTCCTCGATATGTTTGTGTATTATGTGAAAGACTTTGTTACAAAAGAAATGTATCCAAAATTAATAAGTTTAAAGCACAAATAAATATTCCAGTTTGGAGAGATTTAATGACATATATAAAGGAACAAGGTATTATTAATTCACAGTATATATGCGATTATTGTGAATGCAAATTCCGTAACGGGTTAATACCTGCATATTGCGTTTTAAATAATCTCATTGTTCATGATGTACCCGAAGTAATAGCATCTCTTAATACATTCGAAAAAATTCTCATACAAAGAGCTAAGGCATTTCAAACTGTTATTAAAATGGGAACTGTTATTAACAAAAAATTGCCTCAAAGGCAAATGATACAAAAAGTAAAAGGTAGAACTTTTCATTTACCACTTCCTTTACAAGAAACGTGGAACAAATTATGCAAGGATACCGATCCAATAAATATAAATCATGAATTATACATTTTAGTTAGAAGTATTCCGACAAAATTTAAGATTATTTGGGAAGAAATGGTAAATGTTAAAAAAATATTTGATGCTTTAATATGGTTAAAGCATAACAATCCTCTTTATCGTCATATTATACTGCCAAAAACTCACGATACATGCTTAGAAAAATTGAATAATCCAGAATTCCAAATACAAGAAGCGGAAAACAATGATGAATTTATTTTGGATGACGATTACAAATTATTATTGAGTCTAAAAGGTACAATGGAAGAAACGAACAATAACGTAGAAACTATTTTAAATAATCAATACAAAGCAATGTTAACTCAGATTGTTGATGACAGTGATGGTCATTATGACCAATATACCATTTATCCTTTATATGAAAAAAAAAAACACGCGAATCTGCTACCAATCTATATCAAATGTTAAAAATTCAAGATTTGCCTTTAGAACCGTGAAAAAGATTTAGATATGTTGTGTTTCCCAGATTTATATCCCTTTGGTATTAATGGACAATATCAAACTAGATCAATTAAACTTCATGATCATGAATTTATCAAATGTCGTTTAAAATCAAAACATCCACAATACAGATTAAACCAACAATATTTATTTTATTTATTAAATAATGCGAATATACGTCAATTAAATCGTGGTATTTATCATAAATTGAATATAACTAATTTGCGAGACTGTTACACGGCTTTAGAATATTTAAAAGCATTGCAAAAAGATTTATTAGAATCTGATTTAAGTACTATTTTTTCTACTTTAAGAAATACGGAACAATATTGGCGTAACCAAGAAGTGGTTTAAATTGTATGACGCAATATTACGTCCTGCAACGTGGTTTCTAACATTGAGTCCTAGCGAGTATATGTGGAATGAATTAGGCGAATATATTCGTGAAATAAATGGATGGTCTAATGAGTCTTCTTTATCTACCAGTGTTCTTATTGCTAGAGATCCTGTATCAACATCGAGATTTCTCGACAATAAGTTTCGGGCAATGTTTGATTTTATTTGTTCCAAAGATCATCCGATCGGAGAAATAATACATTACTTTTGGCGACGAGAATATCAAGGTAGAGGTATTCAACATTTTCATTTGTTACTTTGGGTTAAAAATACACCAATTATTGGTGAATCTTCTCCAGAAGAAGTGTCTATATTTATTTTACAACATATAACTTGTAAATTGCCGGATAAAAATATTTCACCATTATTATACAGACGAGTTAACATATCAACAACACAAACATAACGATTATTGTCTTCGTTCTAAGAAGGTAGGACGCAAAGTTGTTCGTGTATGTCGTTTCGGTTTTCCGCGTCCTGTTACAGAAACATTTGTTATGAGAGATGTCATAAGTTCAATAACAGGTAGGAAACAATTAAAATATAAAAGTAAGCTTTATGACCTTCCTCGAACCGATATCGAAATTGGTATAAATGATTATAATTCCATCCTTTTTACTGCATGGGAAGGAAACATGGATATACAATTTATAGGTGAAAAATCATCTATACTTACTTATTATGTTACTAAGTATTTGAATAAGGCAGGAAAATGTGAATTATCTGATTCTGTCCTTGATAGTAAAAATAATAAGAACAAATCGCTGGCGAGCTATCTTTGGAATATTGCTTTGCGCTTCATGAATAATGGGGAATGTGGAGCTCTTGAAGCTGCTGACACATTGCTGGGTATTCCATTATATGGGACTGATCCAAATACGACTGTTAGATGGTTAGATGTTAATCAGATACGATACAGGAAAGTTAAAAGCTATAAGGAAATTAAAATTCTTGATAAAGACATATTTCTACAGACATATTTTATCCATCTTTAATAGATAATCATTATCCAGAGAGATCAGAAGACTTAGAATCGATGTCATTATATGAATTTGCACAGTGGTTTGACATTACGAAAATAAAACCACAAAGTAAAAAATTGAGTTCTTTAAGATGACTAATGGTCATTATCTTAAACGACGACAGCGTGAATATCTTATTAATCACTATAGATATGATGTTAAAACGCGGCCAGAAAATTATTTCTTTTCATTACTTCTTATGTTTAAACCATGGCGGAAAATAGAAGAACTTAAAAATGGATATGATACTTATGCGGAATCATTTCACAATGTAAAATTACATCTTGTGAATGCATTGCAGTATCATGAAAAGTTAGAGAAATTGCAAAAAGCATTTGAAACTGCAAAACAATTACTTCAAGAACATTTAGATAATTTAGCAAATCAAAATATGTCTCAAGATGATCCTGATAATCCAATAGATGTGCAAAATGTTGAAGCTGGTGAAGCGATGCAAGATTTTAAAGATCTTGGAAACAAACAGGAAATAGATATATCTGAAATGATTTCTAAACTGAATGTAGATCAAAGAAGGGTATTTGATAGAGTCATTAATACCATTACGTCAGATAAATTGTTATTACGATTATATTAGTGAAGAAGGAGGTACTGGCAAGAGTTTCCTGATTAAAACAATTAAGTGCTGGATAAAACAAAATCTTAACAAAGATACTGCCATAACAGCACCCACTGGTATAGCAGCATTTAATATAGATGGTTTGTTCACAGATTACTGCAGTTACCTGTTGAACATGGTCATACTCCTAAATATAAACAAT